GATGGTACTGATGGTACTGATGGTACTGATGGTACTGATGGTCCAGATGTTACTGATGTTACTGATGGTAGTGCTGGTCCTGATGGTACTGATGGTCCTGATGCTCTCCCTGGTTCCTGGTCTCCACCTCACAGCCAGATGCTGAGCGGACAGACCCCGAGGAGCTGAGGAGGAGGAGCAGGACTGAAGGTTGAGTCCGACCCCGGAGTCTGTTGTTTCCGTCTCAGGGAGGAGGTGATGAACGACATCGTTTGTGCTGCGACTGCAAAAATCAGACTCAGGCGAGGAAGATACAGAAAAGTTGGTACACGCTGTAAAACTGCCCTGACCTTTGACCTGTATTCATGAGAAGGAGAAAAAAAAAGAATCTGCAGTTTTGAAATGTTGTCAATCAAAAGTGATGACCTCCTGGACAGCCAGGGGTCGCCATTGTCCCATTCTCTTCTTTATAATGCACAGCTTTTATTAGACCACAGATCTGGACTGCAGGCAGGCCTGTGGTTTTTTTCGTTCACTACTTTCATGTATGTCTTTCGAATAACATTTAATTTTTTATTATTTTTTTCCGCTCTTTTTTTAGCCAATTTTACCCCTAGGTGGCGCTACACCTTATATCAGAATCCAGTCCAGTGTCTCTGGAGTTTTGGATTTTTTTTAATTCAGGAAACGTTATTGCTTTATTGTGTGACAAACTTTTCTTTTTGTTGTTTGTAGGTTTTATTTCCCTCCATAAATGTGTTTGTTAAAAGAATATAAAAGTTTAAAATGTTAACATTTTTCTCCCGTCAGAGACGGACTCCAGAGGAGACGTCTGTCAAAGCAGTGACGGCGTTCAAATGTGGGAACCCGTCACAATTAGACATGCAGATTTATCTCCACAGTCTTACATAATAATCTCTCTGTGTCTTTACAGGGAGGGAGGGGGGAGGGATGGGGCTGGGCGAGGGGAGAGTGAGTGTGTGGGTGAGGAGGGGGGAGACCTGTGGATGATTAGCTTCTTTTTGTCCTGTTCTTTTTTTTCACTGCTTTATTTTCCCCTGAGAAGATTAAATATTTCTGCTTGAGAAAATCTTTTTAAACCAGCACTGACTGCTGCCCCCCTCCCACACACAGACACACGGGGGCTCCCTACCAAAAAAAC